GATCACCAAGAGCGACCGTACCCAATGCCCATGGCCGAGGAGATCTTCGACAAGCTGGCTGCAGGACAGGTCTACTCAACCTTGGACCTCCGTCAAGGATTCAATCAGATACCAATCAAGGAGGAGGATAAGGCTAAGACGGCGTTTCATGGGCCAGACAGACTGTACGAATGGAATTATATGCCATTCGGGTTGAAGAACGCTTCAGCGAGGTTCCAGCGAGTGATGGATCAAGTGCTGAGGGAGGTACCGCGTGCACTCTGTTACATAGACGACGTGGTAATCTTCAGCGAAAACGGGTTGCAGCACGTGGCAGATGTAGCCGACGCCCTAGCAGCAATACAAGCGGCCGGACTGAAGTGCCATCCAGGAAAGTGTCATTTCGGGGTGAGGACAGTGGCGTACCTGGGGTTTCAGGTGGGGAAAGGAGGCCTCTCGGTGCAGCAGGCCAAAGTGGAGGTGGTCGATAGACTCAAAGCGCCAACAGATCGGAGCACCCTCCGCGCTCAGCTGGGCTTTCTGAGCTACTACCGCAAGTTCGTGCCGAACTTCAGCAAGACGGCAAGGCCCTTGAATCTGCTCCTGAGAGAGGACATGACCTGGAAGTGGGAGGCAGAACAGATCTGGCGTGGAAGACCTTGAAGGAAGCAGTGAAGACCGCGCCTGTCCTGAAACTGCCAGCCCGGATAAGCCCTACACGTTGTATACTGACTGGAGCAGCAGTGGCATGGGGGCGTACTGTGCCAGCTGGATGGGGGCGGAGAGAGGGTAGTAGCATTTGCCAGTCGGTCATGCAGCCCAGCCGAAAGCACTACAGTTCCTATGAGGGGGAGGGTTAGCCGCAGGTCTGGGCGGTGGAACTCTTCCGGCCTTTACTTGCAAGGCAGGAAATTTACCCTAGTCACCGATCATCAACTCTCCTGTGGCTGATGACTAATCAGACTCTGAAGGGCGGAATGCCAGGTGGGCCATGCGGCTGCCGAGGAATTCGAGTTTGACGTGAAGCATCGGCCCGGGAAAACCCTGCAGCATGTGGACGGGCTCTCCAGGCAGGGGCCAGCAATAGCTGGGGAACCAAAGGTGGGAGCGGAGACTGTGCTTTCCTTCATGGCGGTGTCCGCCGAGAAGGAGGGGTGGACTCGGAGGTCCGAGGCGGCGAAAGGCTGTCGGGAGATTTGGGACGATGCTGCGGTGCTGCAGTGGGTTCAAGGTAAGGGACCCGAGGGGTGGAGAGGTGCCAGAGAGGGTGAGGGCCCGGGGGATTCACTACCGTTGGCAGGATGAACAACTGCAGTTAGTGACGGGGGATGGCTGGAGAATAGTCCCCAAGCCGGAGGAGCGAGAGGGGCTGATCCTGAAGGTGCACACTAAGCTGGGGCACTATGGAGCCGAGCGGACGACTCAGTTGCTACAGACGATGTACTGGTGGGATGGGATGCGAAAGGAAGTGAAAGGGGTGGTAGGGGTATGCGAGGCATGCAGCCGAGGCAAGGCACGGCTGGAGCAGTCGAAGGCAGAATTGCAGTCTCTGCCCATTGGACAGATCGGGTACCGCTGGTCCTGGATATGGCAGGAGAACTACCACTATCCAGGAGAGGGCGGCAGTATATCCTAGTGATGATAGAGCACACTAGCAAGTGGATTGAAGTCGCGGCCCTCCCGCGCAAGAGCGCGGCGGGAGTGTCGGAGGCTTTTGTCCAGCAGGTGCTGACGCGATTTGGAGCGTGTGGGGAAGTGCTTACCGACCAGGGGAATGAGTTTGCGGGTGAGTTCGACACCATGTTAAGTGAGGTGGGTATCAGGCATCGGACGGACGTCGCGGTATCATCCGCAAGCAGACGGTTTGACGGAGCGGATGATCCAGACGTTAAAGCAGGGGCTGCGCAAGTACTGCGAAGAAGAGGATAGGCGGGAGTGGGACATCATCTCCCTTGGTTAGCGGCGGGATATCGCTTTAGTAAGCAGCAAGCGCTGAAGGATTACTCCCCGTACTTCCTGCTCTATGGAAGGAGCCCGTGCTGCCCGTGGATGCTCCTCGTATCATGAAGGAAGCGGTGTCGATTGCGGACCCGCGGACTTGGGCCGTGATCGCAGCAGCCAGGGCTAGTTATCTCCGCACTGCATGCCGGCAGCCTTAGATAATTTGGAGGTGGCACAGTTGCGAGACGCAAGGAGGTACAGGCAGCGCAAGCAAGGGGAGGCAATGGGGGTCAGGCGTTGGCACTACAGATTGGCGACGAGGTGTACCTGAGAGAGCGGAACAAGGACACGCTAGACAGAGGTTTGAGTAAGGAGCGGTGGATCGTACGTGAGACAAGGGAGTCAGGGGTCCTATTGCTGCAGAATATGCAGGGGCAGCTGGTTCGGGACCACGTGTCTAATGTGGCGCGCGCTGGGAGGTCACGGCCTGATCACGAGGACGTGGGTCGGGCCGCGAGGGGGCAGGAGAGTGGGGCAAAGAGCCTCATAACATACAAGCGGAGGCAGCCACCAGGAGAGCCCGGCTAGTTGGGTGGCAGGATACCCGAAGAGAGAGCTGTGTGCGACAGCTGTCGCATAAATCGCATGAACGGAAAAGTGTCATGAGATATATGGGACAGCGCGGAAGGGAAGAGGTGTAGAAAGTGTAAGGAAAATACGTAAAGAGGATTGTTATGCGGGGTAATGTGGGGAAGTACAGTGATGGGTCGAAAAGCTCATGGGATTGAGCGGGCGAGACAGCTGGAGGTGGCGAATGGGAGACAGTGTCCAGCTCAGTGGGGACAGGAGCGGCTGGTTAGGTCGACATGCAGAAGAGTGAGGGAGGTAAGGGGCCGGATTCAGGGGACAGCGAGGAGGCGTAATCATTAGTGCAGGTAAAAAGGCTAACCTCGAGGGAGTGAGGGACCTGGGTGACGGAGTGCCTTCGGCTAGGAGTAGCGTAAAGGAGCTTGTTCGTCGTATGTCAGCTACTCTGTTTGTTCTCTCGTAACATTGGGAAGGTTGTATGGCTCTTGCTAGTGAATACATTTTTCTGAGCTAAACCAGATCCATGAAGGGAGACCAAACTGAGGGTAGCGAGCAAATCTTTGGCTGAGAGATTTCGCCTCGGGCTTTCATATTATCTGATTGAATCCTTGACGGAGGTCCAAGGTTGAGTAGACCTGTCCTGCAGCCAGCTTGTCGAAGATCTCCTCGGCCATGGGCATTGGGTACCGGTCGCTCTTGGTGATCCGGTTAAGACCTCGGTAATCCCCACACATTCGTCGGGCTAACGTTTCACCGGTTAGATCCTTCCTTGCGGCTACCACTGTCGCTGCTGCATATTCTGATGTGGACTCCCTGATCAACCCCGCCTCCAACAGCTCTGCGCATTTTGCAACAGCAATGTCTCTGTCCCCTGGACTCATACGTCTTCTCCGCTGATACACTGGTTCGTTGCTTTGCAGCTCTATCTCCATCTCAGCTATGGTGCACTTGCCTAACTCCTTCAGAGAGTAAGCGAAGGCTCCCCTTGCCCCTTCCAGTACACGCCGCAACTCTCCCTTCTGCTCCTCCTCTAGCCCGTCTCCCATCTCCCAGGCCGGTGGACTGTCGACTTGCGGTGGCCCTTTTCTTCTTCTACTGGCTTGCTTTCCCCTTCTTCCTTTATCTCCTCCACGGCTTCTGCTTCTTGCATAGCTTTGGCCAGGAGCGCTATCCCCCGAATATTCAGCTGGTTCTCTCCTCGCTCTACCTCGGCCCAAGCCTCCGCCTTCATGCGTTGCCAGGCCTCTGCCATGTCGAGCGCCTGCGCTGGTCGCTCTCCAGCATCGTTTGCAGGTCCTTCCACCGCCAGTGCATTAGCAGCTGCATTCTCATCACCTCCTGCCGTTTCTCCGCCCGGTACAGCAACCAGACTAGCGCGTGCTGGTCGATGGCTCCCCTAGCGCTGCCCTCCTCGCTTCTTCTGAAATCCCCTCCGCCGCCGTCGCGTTTCTCATGTACCCTAGCGCCCTCTCCCTTTCCACCGCCATAGGCTCCTCCCATTGCCCCGTAGCGAGTACTTGCACCATCCCGGGTCCCGGCTCACTGCCTTGCATGCGAAAGGCGTAACTGCCAGGTGTTGCCACCAAAGTCGGCCAGGCTTGCCTCGGCTCTCCCACTTGGTTGCAGGGAAACTGTGTCTTGACCTCTGGGGTCGTTACCGGTGCCGGCCTCCTGCCCGGCTCTAGAATATCCTGGACCTGCCGCGGCACGGGCCGCTGCATCCTACTCAGTTGATCTCTGAGCACTGGCTCCGGGACCAAGTTCTGCCAGTAGCGTCTCACTCTGTGAGTCCGGGACCCCATTTGTGCTGCATCCCAGGCTACCCCGTGTCCCAACTCTGCCGTCACAGCTTGATGAGCCTCTCTCACCAATGCACGCTCATCGTCCGCCACATCCAGATTCTCCACTATGTAGGATAGCGGTCCTTGTTTCCTCTTTATCAGCTTCATCACTCGGATAAGATCCCGGAGGAGGCCGGTGCGCGGGTCCGATAGCCCCCTGCCCTTGCCCGCCCTGGACAGCCCCTGACATTCCCATCCGGCCACTAGCAGGTCAATCTGCCCCCAGCTCTCCACCGTCTCCTGAGTAACAGCGCCGATATCATTCATCGCACTTGCCTCCCTCTCAGCCCTCTCGACCACTTCCACGGGCAGCCTCTCCGGAAATTCCCGACTAAGGAGCCTTGCATGATGAAATGCCATGCAGCGCACCTCTTCCTTCTTCTCCACATGTATCCATCGTGCAATGGTGAGCCCCGTACGTACGCACGCCGCCAATCCTGGTCCAACTCCCCCGAACAACTCTAGCAGGGCTATGGGTCGGTTGAAGGTTTCGAAGTCGTATGTGGGCTCGGTGAGCCCCTTTGCTTCCCGGTACTCTGCCAGTCGTGGCCCGCCGCTTCCTCCCTCTTTCTCCTCTCGCTTGCTCGCTCCAGATACACTCCTGCGTCCTCGAATCTCTGCTCTGGCACCTTCTCCATTGGGGGCCCTCGATATCCGGGCGGACTCCTTAGGAAGCGTGCCGGCAGAGCCACTGCCAAGCTCTCTTCATGACTCAGCTCGTGGTCCCAGTAGCGAGGCTGGTAAGTAACCTTCTCGGTCCAAGTGTCGACCACTGCTCCTATTTTGTAGAGCAGCTCCATTCCCAACAACAGGTCATAGTCGTCTGAGTCTGAGACCAGGCAATGCACACGAATCCTCGTCTCATCCTCTGCTCCTGGGGCCAGCACCACCTCCTGAGGCCTCAGTGTCCTGGGCAGCCATTTCCCTGCTCCTCCCTCTGCTGTCTGGATTCTGACCCCTTCAGGCGTCACATTCTCCTCTCGGTGCAACCCCAGCCTTTCGGCCAGGCGCCTTCCCACCAGCACTTGTGAAGCCCCTGTATCGATTATCGTAGTCCCGGGGTATTTCCCTTCCACAGCGACTGCTCCCTCCATAGCCTCAACCACGCATGGCTTCGCCGCCATCCGCTCAAATGGATGACGGTGAGGGCCATGCCTGCCCCCTGCAGGGGCCCTGGCTTCAGCTTCTGCTGGTCCCGTCCGCCCTGGGGTCGGACTCACTCGGGCCCTCGGCCCTCGCCTCCCCTGCTGCACTTCACGTCGGCGGTCGACTCCTCCGCTGCGCAGACCAAGCTCCTCTTTGTCCCGGCCCCCCCCCGAGGCCATAAAGAACGGCTCCCCCTTCTCTTCGGTATCTCCCTCCCGAGATCGGGCTAGCCTCGCTGAGCTATCCTCCTCGTCGCTCTCTTCCTCCTCGGCCTTCAGCCTTCGCAGTTCTTCCTCCAGGGCCTCAATACGGCCTTTCCGACCTCCCTTGCCCCGCTCCTCTCGCTGCTTCGTGTAGCAGTTCTCAGCGGAATGCCCCCTTCTCTGACAATATGAGCAGGTCTGCAGCTTGGGGCAATCCCTTTTGAAATGCCCTGGCTCCCGGCACTTATAACACACCGGTTCCTCGCTCAGGGGAGGGGTCACCGTCCGGGATCGCTGCGGTTTTCCCTTGTATCCCCTACTTTCCGTCCTTTCCTCCTCTCCCTCACTCCCAGCCAGCATAGCTCCACTCCAGCTGACTCCTCTGCGGTCTCGTTCACGCCCCCCCGAACGCTCCGACCTCCTTCCAAGATCGTACAGGCTCAGCGACTGCTCGTTGCGCCATGCGATCTCATACGCCTGCCTCAGCGTCGCATTCGGTCCCAGGTTGTAGGTGTGGTCCCTTGCCGTTCGGGCCAGATCCCCTGACAGCCCTTCCAAGAACTTCGCCACCACTATCCGTGGTTCGTTGCAGCTGATGTCTTCCGCTAGCTGATCCACTCGGCGATAGTACGCGAGCAACGATTCTCTGGGGGCCCTCCGCAGCTGCTCGAATTCTCGTAGCTTTGCTGGGGTTTGCGTCGGGAAGTGCACCTGAAGCTCTTCCAGGAACTTCTCTGTCGGATCCTGCAACCTTAGCGCCCGGCCCTCAGCATCTCGGCGGACCCTTCCCAGGGCGTCCCGCTCCTCCTCCTGCAGTAGTAGGTCGCGTACTTCCAAAAAGAATGCCTCTGCATCCCCTGCCAGCGTATTGCCCAACGACCGGAAGAAATGCCTGAGATCTAGGCCATCTTGCTCCCAACAAAACTTCTCGCTGCGCACGTGCATCGCGTACGTTTTCAGGCGAGGGCCCGACTGCTGGTCCCCCGTGAAGCGCGCGGGAACCTCCACCTTGGGTAGGCTCGTATAGCGATATCTGGTTCCTTCCTCCCATAACGACCGATGCGACACCCCGCCGGCAGTGCCCTGCACGGCCCCGGTGACGTTCCCCGCGCCCACTTCGCCGCTTCCCTCGGATCTGCTCAGCGCTGTCGGTCCGCCGACTCCTCGACCTGCGTCTCCGGGTGCGCGGGCCGCCGAGGCCTCTCTCGCCGTCGCGGAGAACCCCCCCCCCGCTTGACGATCCGCGCGCATCGCGAAACCGCTGGAATCACGACGCTCCCGCGCTCGCTTCTCCTCCCCCGGGCTCGGCTCCTCGCGCGTCTCCTCGCGCTCCGCCGATGGCGACTCTGGAGCCTGACCTCCTTCGACTGACAGGTTCTTGTCTTCCCCTCTCAGCGAATCGTCTCCTCCTTGCAGTCGGGTGCCACTTCTTAGGGACATCCCCGCCATAAGACTCTGTTTGTATATGAAAGCCCGAGGCGAAATCTCTCAGCCAAAGATTTGCTCGCTACCCCTCAGTTTGGTCTCCCTTCATGGATCTGGTTTAGCTCAGAAAAATGTATTCACTAGCAAGAGCCATACAACCTTCCCAATGTTACGAGAGAACAAACAGAGTAGCTGACATACGACGAACAAGCTCCTTTACGCTACTCCTAGCCGAAGGCACTCCGTCACCCAGGTCCCTCACTCCCTCGAGGTTAGCCTTTTTACCTGCACTAATGATTACGCCTCCTCGCTGTCCCCCTGAATCCGGCCCCTTACCTCCCTCACTCTTCTGCATGTCGACCTAACCAGCCGCTCCTGTCCCCACTGAGCTGGACACTGTCTCCCATTCGCCACCTCCAGCTGTCTCGCCCGCTCAATCCCATGAGCTTTTCGACCCATCACTGTACTTCCCCACATTACCCCGCATAACAATCCTCTTTACGTATTTTCCTTACACTTTCTACACCTCTTCCCTTCCGCGCTGTCCCATATATCTCATGACACTTTTCCGTTCATGCGATTTATGCGACAGGTACAGCAGCGTTGCTGGAGCCGGCACGCCATCCGCTTGACGATTTAGTTGGCATGGATCTTGGAAGTGCTGGAGAGTCACTGTCAAGCAAAATGCTGCGACTGAGAGTAGACCTCACTTGGCAACAACACTGTGGGGTTTGAGTCAAACCGAAAAATGATTTGATCGGCCCGAACTCACCCTGTCAACGAGGATGTTGGAGGTCTTGAAGTCCCGGTAGATGACCTGCGGCTCCGCTTCCTCATGCAGGAACGCCAAACCCCGAGCAGCATGCAGCGCCACCTTCATGCGGATGTCCCATGGCAATGGATCTCGGGTGCCTGCACATGTCAATGGAGTCAGACGGAGTCAGTCAAAGGAGACATTGCTAGCCATGCCTGGACATTTAACTCAAAGTGAGAAATGTTTCCAAGATGTGGACTGAGCATGAAACAGGTCAATTCTCAACGAAATTCCAACTGGGTGAAACAGCAAGCAGGGGCAACGCTTACGAGAGAAGAGGTATCTCTCGAGGCTGCCATACTCCATGAACTCGTACACCAGCAGCCGCTGCACGTCCTCTGCACAGTACCCTACTAGTTGCACCAGGTTCGGGTGCCGAAGCTCTCCCAGGTACCGTACCTCTGCCTGGAAAGGTATGATGCGGGAATCAAAATGGAAAATGCGGATCAGGCACTTGAAGACAAACGCGGTCAAAGCAGTCAGATACGAACGCGTGCAAAACAATCAGAGGCGTCGCCTAATGCCTCCTCTCGCTTACCATCCATCCATTCCCCCATCCTTTCCCCATCCTTCCCCACCCCAACCCACGTTGCGCCTCTTCCCCCATTTAAAAGCAACTTACCATCCATTCCTGTTCTCCCTGTGTTCCGTCCAGCGTCAGCATCTTAACGGCGACTTTCTGCCCTCCTCCAGGCGAATTCGCATCGATAGTTCCTCGATAAACGCTCCCAAATCCTCCCTCGCCAAGCTTTCCATCGTCTCGAAAATGCTTCGTGGCTGTCTCCAGCTCCCGAAACGAGAATTCTCTTAACGATGCGTCTACGGTCAGTTCCGTCGTCCCGCTGCCGCCGTATTGCCCTACGCTGATTACTACGCGACCCTCGGAATGACCGACGCTCGTGCCGACTCTCCGGGACGCTGCTGAGCCGTTCGATCTGCTGCTCTCTCCTACGGACGTTCCGCTGCCTCCTCCCGAGGCAACGCGCTGATGCTGGTTTGGGCCACTAGAGCGTATAATGTCGTCTATGGAACCGACCGGATGATCACCAGTCGATTGTCGGTTGACCGCTGAAAAGAAGGCATACGGGAAAGAAATAAAAACAGTGAGACTTGGTACAAGAGTGAAGTGGCTTTAGAGCAGACGATGCATAACCTAATCCGGCGATAAGAACGCACACAGACGGGATGCACAAACTCTCCCGGTGGCGAGAAGGGTGCAAACAGACAGGCCTGCGCGAAAATATTCAGCTGGCTTTTACGATGCTTATTCTCACCTCCTCTGGGAGTCTCGGGCTTGCGTGGTGCAGTCGGTCGTACAACCTCCTCGTCAATGGACACACAGCAACCCATGCTGACGAAAAAGACAGCTCCGCTTGGAAGACGCCCTACAAGCACATTCCATGCAGTGCTTGCGTCGCTACTTCCACAGCTTTTCCCATGGCACAGCTACCTACGCACTGGTGTGCCGACAACGAAGTCGTTGAGATTGGCCCAACAGAGAAGATTGGCTAGGTCGAAAACTTTGTTTCTGGGCAGCGCTAAAAAAGAAGACGCGTTCGTGCTAGCTGGCTGAATAAAATAACCGCAGACCGAGATGAATAAATTAGCTTCTGCTGGCCATGGCTGCTAATTTTCGGCTAGGCTGCTGATGACTCCTGCAGAGTGCTGCAGGGATGAAGGAACCAAGCCTTTCCGTGGGACGTGAGGCGAAGCAATGCGTGTGGTGGAATTGAGATTTCAAGAAGAGGAATTCCACTGATGGTTCTCATTAGGAAGGATAATGTACAGTGTTGTGTACATTATCCAAGTTGTGGGCTTATGCCATCTCGTCGACTTCAATTTATTCCGAACCAAGCTAGGTTTGGGAATGATCAAACGCGCTCCGTCGAGGTTACCGTATTCTGACAAAATTGGCCTGATTTCCCCGCTTATTTCCTGTCCCGTTCTCACCTTCACTGGTGGAACGGATGGATTCCAACTTGGGAATGGCATGATGCCATCATCCCTCCTTGTTATCCCTGTGACTGATGAGTGCGAGTTGCTTGCACCGTACCACACCACACAAGCTGACTCCACAGATACCAGGACTCGTAACCCTAGCAGATTACAGGCAGACTCGGCGTTTCTCTCTGAGTTAAGCTCCTGACACTGCAGTCTGTGATAGCTTGCTGTTGTGATGGAAGGTGAAAGTGAAAAGAAGACGGGAGAGAAGCCCGCGGAAGATGATGGTGGAATCGCACCTCTTCCAGAAAGGGTACATACTTGTCTAGCCTATTTTCCACGTATCGCAATTCACGGATATTAATGTACCCCTCTTTTTGGTAAACAGGTTCAAGTCGGCGGATCACCAGTGTACAAGATGGATCGGAAGCTGGGAAAGGGAGGTTTTGGCCAAGTCTACGTGGGTCGTAGAGTTCACGGAGGGACTGAGCGAGTTGGCCCTCATGCTGTCGAGGTATTGAGTCGATAAGCTCCTTCATTGCTCCGTAGGATTCGATCGCTGAGTCTAAAGAGGAAGCCTAATCGATCGTTCGACGGGGTGCAGGTAGCACTGAAATTCGAGCATAGAAGCAGTAAGGGATGCAACTATGGGCCACCATACGAGTGGCAAGTTTACAAGTAAGACGACGTCGTTTCTCTGCAATCTTGGTTTATGTCGAACCCGGCATCCCTAACCTAACGAATCTCCGTCATGACAGCACGCTGGGAGGGAGCCATGGAGTTCCTAGGGTTCACTACAAAGGCAGACAAGGCGACTATTATGTTATGGTGCGCATGAGCTATGCATTCAACATCATCCTTAATTCAAATCCGAACATTGTCCTAACATTGTCGTGAACTGATGTCTACAGGTCATGGACATGCTCGGACCGAGCTTGTGGGACGTCTGGAACAATTCTAATCAAGCGTAAGGATCTTTCATCTGTGTTTACCTTCATTCGTTCTCCTCTCGTCTAACATCGTATTCCTGACTATTTCAGGATGTCGACGGAAATGGTTGCGTGTATTGCCGTGGAAGCTCTTTCCATTCTGGAGAAGTTGCACGCACGAGGGTAAGATAGTCGCGAGCCGGTTTGTTTGTCGCGTTACGAAAACTTTGTCAGGTTTAAGATTTTCGCTCTTCCGCTGCTATTTCAGATACGTTCATGGAGACGTGAAGCCAGAAAATTTCCTTTTAGGCCAGCCAGGATCCCCTGACGAGAAGAAGCTGTACCTTGTTGACCTCGGACTTGGTAAGTAGTAAGGGCTCTCATTCCGAAAACTATTCCGCTGTTACTTGTATACTGATTGTAGCGTTTTTCCTCGATTTCAGCAACACGGTGGAAGGACGCAACTTCTGGTCAGCATGTGGAGTATGATCAACGTCCAGACATCTTCAGGTGCTTAATGATGGCCGTGCACCAGCAGGCTGCTTTCTGTCACGTTGCGCAATGTTGACAATGTGAAGTTTTTCTCCTTTTCGCAGGGGAACTGTCCGATACGCCAGTGTCCATGCGCATCTTGGACGCACAGGCAGCAGGAGAGACGATTTAGAGTCCCTGGCTTACACGCTGGTCTTCCTTTTGAGAGGACGCTTGCCATGGCAGGGCTACCAGGTGAGCATCCCTCACGACAAGGCTTTCCCCTGGTTGTGTGCGTTTCTTTGATGCTAATGTGGCGACTATTCTTGGTTGAGCAGGGAGACAACAAGGGCTTCTTGGTTTGCAAGAAGAAGATGGCCACGTCTCCTGAGATGCTGTGCTGCTTTTGTCCAGTCCCTTTCAAGCTCTTTTTAGAGTATGTGGTGAACCTGAAGTTCGATGAGGAGCCGAACTATGGAAAGTGCATTGCAATGTTCGACCCTGTTTTGGGACCCATCCCTGCACATCGACCCATTGACACAGAAGGCGCTTTGAAGGTGATAGTAGACAGCAGCTGTGAATTTGAGCTTTAAAAATGCTCTACCAGGCGAGGTTTCTGAACGCGTGTTCTAGTTTTGCAGGTGGGTCAGAAGCGTGGACGCTTGACAGCGGAGGAGGAAGCAGACGACCAACCAAAGAAGAAGGTTCGACTTGGAATGCCTGCCACACAGTGGATTTCGGTGTACAGTGCTCGTCGGCCAATGAAGCAAAGGTACAACGCGCCAATGTATGCTTTCACTTACATTCTTTGTCTCCACTCACTTCACGCGTTTCCTCAGTCCCTCCTTCCCTCCTTTGTACCTCACCCCAACTTGATTCTCTCCCACCCGCCCACCCCCTCGCTCTCTCTCCTCCACCCCACTCTCCTCCCCCCCTCTCTACCCTTCTTTTCCTCCTCTCTTCCCCCCTTCCCCTATGCCTCCTGCTCCAATTCTCCTTGCTTTTGCGCCCTCCCTCCCGCCACTTGTTAACCTCGATCAGATACCACTACAATGTGGCTGACGCGAGACTAGCTCAACACGTGGAGAAGGGGAATGAGGACGGGCTGTTCATCAGTAGTGTGGCGTCATGCCAGAACTTGTGGGCCCTCATCATGGATGCTGGCACAAACTTTACATCCCAAGTCTATGAACTTTCTCATGTCTTTCTCCCGAAGGTATGCTATTGTCAGGTGCCCACTTATTATGTCCCTTTGCATTTCGACGCGCAAGCTAATGGTTCGTTAATGCTCCACAGGAGTGGATCATGGAGCAATGGGAGCGGAATTACTACATTACCTCAATTGCAGGGGCCAGCAATGGAAACTCCTTGGTAGTCATGTCTAAAGGTAAGTTATCTAAAACATCTCTCTCATCGCTCACCTTGCTTCAGAGGTTGTAGCTCACTCCTTTCACTGCTTTGTTCTCGACAGGAACCTCCTACACACAACAGTCTTACAAAGTGAGCGACTCGTTCCCTTTCAAGTGGATAAACAAGAAATGGAGGGAAGGCTTTTATGTCACATCCATGGCAACTGCTGGCAGCAGATGGGGGGTTGTTATGTCACGAAATGCTGGCTTCACTGACCAGGTATGTATCTGAATGCATAGCTGGATTTGCAATGCATTTTTTCCCATCGACCTAAAAGCGTTCCCTGTTTAAACTGTCAGGTGGTTGAGCTCGACTTCTTGTATCCTAGTGAAGGGATCCATCGCCGGTGGGATGCTGGTTACCGGATTACAGCAACTGCAGCAACTTGGGATCAAGCTGCCTTTTTGTTAAGCATCCCAAGACGACGTCCTGCAGATGAGACTCAGGAGACTTTGCGAACATCAGCCTTCCCAAGCACACATGTCAAGGTAACCTTTCACACGTGTATTCCTGTTCTGATGTTTACTGCCCTAGTGTTTTTCCTACTTACCGTTACTGGTACTCGTCTTTTACCATCACGCAGGAAAAGTGGGCAAAGAACCTGTACATCTCGTCGATCAGCTATGGTCGCACTGTCTCTTAGTTGGCGGAAGTGATGCATGTGATCCCTCGCTTAGAGCCCATTGATTTTTTTCAATGCTGGTCCCCTGCCAGTGTTACCATAGGTGGTTGGCAGCAGGCTCCCACACTGTATGGAGCCACATTGTTTTGTAGATGTCTTCGGGTTGCATTGTGCATGGTATCCTGCCACCCATTTGGAATCCCTGGCTTTTTTGCTTGTGGGAGCCATTCTATTACGTCATGCTCCCTCGCGTCTGCTATTTATGCTGCAAATTTCTTTGAAACCATACAATTTTTTAGGTACTCATGTGGAGTTGTATCCAGGCCCCCAAATTGCAGACTTTTTACTCTGATTCAGACTTTTTTCAGAGTTTTTTTGGGGGTGTACTCTGATTGGGAAGACTTTTTTTTGTACCTTACTCTGATTTTTCAGAGAAGATTTATGTACCTACGCTGATTTTTCAGACTTTTTTTACTAGTGTACTCTGATGCCTCAACTCTGTATGGGGGGTCGACTCTGATTTGTGTAATGCCAGGTTTAGGGGGGGAGCGTGATTTACCTGTGGGGGGGTGCTGATTGGCCCTTAGCCAAAATCAGGGCGAGATGCTTGTGGGGGGCTTTGTGAGGGCAGTTATTGGCCCTTCACCCAAATCAACGGCCAATGCGTATTGGGGGCTGTGTGAGGGAGTTGACTGGCCCTTCACCAAAATCGCTGGCCGATGTGTACTGGGGGCTGTGTGAGGGAGGTGACTGGCCCTTCACCAAAATCACCTCCCAGTTTGTGATGCGTGCGGTGTGAGGGGCTGATTGGCCCTTGGAAAAATTTGCCGAGGTGTGCTTGCCACTGCAGCGGGCTGTGTGTGCGAGGGCACCCATTGGCCCTTCACGAATAGCCACCTGGATGGCCCCGATTTCCCTACCTCCCCTGCAATTTTGATTTGCCCGCCCCCCAATTCTTTTCCGCCCCCATCCCTCGATTTCGTCCCCCATTCGCAATTCGCCACGATCCCGTTTCTCCACCAACCGATATCGTCGCCGTACCTCAGGCACGCGAAATTACTAGACACGGAACGGGGAGGGGAAGGGATAGAAACCCGTGAAAGACTCACCTAAAATTTTTAAAATCGTATGTCAGTCTGTCTGGGAGATTATCAAAGTAAAAAAATCTTCTGTCAGGCCTGGCAAGAGCGCTGTACAATACAGCACAGCTTTGCCATGAACCTCGCTGATCAACCAAACCCGCACCAGCGCGGGGCCGGGCCTAGGGTGCCGCGAAATTCCGCGCCGCCGCCAGAACACAGATACGGTAGGGAGCGCACGCGAGAGAAAGCCCCTCAAGCAAGAATTATGAGGGCAGCGGTTGGGAAGGGAATGGAAAAGTAACGTGCAAAACACTCACTTTGAAATCAGAGTTAAAAACAATGGTAACTCTGATTAATCAGACAAATAAATTATTGTTACTCTGATTTTTCAGACTTTTTTTAGGGGGCGACTCTGAAGGCCATACCAAGAGATGGCAGGCAAGTCTGATGAATCAGACAAGCCCAAAACCAATTTGGGGGCCTGGTTGTATCCCCATTAGGGCCTCAAATTGCAGGCTTTTTACCCAAGCCTTGGTTCCTCCGCGCCACTATCGGCGACTTAAGAGCTGCGCTCCGCGCAGAAGAAAGAGGTCCTTTACACCATGGCCTTCCCCTCCGCGTCCCTTGGTACCCCAATCACTCTGTTGCGCCTTGACCCCAACGGCACAAGCCCCAATTTCAAGGAATGGAGCTACGGCATTGACAAGCACCTTCTGAGCCGCAAGGTCGAAGGCATTTGCCTTAAGCATGTCCTACTCAACCGCGGCAAAGGGAAGATGCACACTCCACCCAAAGAACTCCAGGCGAATGCCACTGAAGAAGAATCCAAGGCGCACGAAGATCTGACAACCAAGTACGAGGAAACTTACAGTGTGGGAGCAGGCTGACGCTGCTATCATTGGCGTGTTCGTCAGCACCACTCCTTCCGAGCTCGTTAAAACATATCATAACTACCCGTCCGCCCATGCCATCTGGGAGTACCTCAACGACCGTTTCCTCAACAAAACTGCTGTGGGGGTGGCAATCCTCATTCCTCGCATGTTTCAAGTGCGCTTGGAGGAATGCCCAGGCATGGCAGACTATGTGGCGGAAATTCAGGGTATTCATCAGAAGCTGAAGCAGCTTGGCATTGTTTTCCCAGAACAAGCCCCTGCCGCAGCTCTCCTCGTTGGGTTGACTCCGTCCTACAATGCCACCCGCTCCATGCTCCTCCACCTCCCGCCGGAAGAGCTCACCTTCGCTAAAGTCTCCTCTGCACTTCTTTTCACCGAGAAAGACAACACCGCCCAGGCTCGAGCAAATGCACTTCGCGCTCCAAGCTCCTCCCCTACTGCACGTCCCAATGTGTTCAAATTATATAAGTTATAATTTAATATAGGCTTGGTAGGTTGTTACTGAACCTTTCTGTAGGGGGTACAAACCCCTCCTTGTACTCCCCTCTCTTCTAATCCAACACTCTTTTCTCTCCTCAACTTTCCTAGCACCTAAAACCTCTCGCCATTCTCATGGCTCCTCCTAGCTCCTAGCTAAACCTTGTGCCATTCTATGGCTTCCTAGCTAAGCTAGTCTTTTGACATGGTATCAGAGCAGTTCGTTCCGTGTGGGCCTGCTCCTCGCGTTTCCGCTGCGTGCTCGTTTCTCTCTCTATCTCGCGCTGCCATGGCGGCCGCGTCAAGCTGCTGTGGCCGCGTCGTCGTGCCGCGGCGCCGCCGTCGACGTCCATGGCGCCCGCGTCCAGCTGCTGTGGCCGCGCCGTCGTGCCGCAGCTCCGCCGTCGCGTCAAGATGCTGTCGCGACGTGACGGCGCCGTCACGCTGCCGCGGCGTCTACGCGACAGCGCGCGGTCGGCGTAACGGCGACGTCGTGCTGCCGTCGCAACGTCGACGCCCCGCTGCGGCATCGACGCCGCTCCATGATGGCGTCGTCGGGCTGCAGCCGGCCGCGTGACGCTTGTGGCGCCGCTAGACCGGCCGCCCGCATGTCAGCCTGTGGCGCCCCCCCCCCCCCCCACCCCCCTCCTTCCCCTGTGCCCTCTTCCATTCCGCAGACGACGGCTGACTCCCGCCGGCCGTCCCACCGTCGCGGGGCCTGGCCACGTCACCGAGAGGTGCGGGTGCCGCCGCCGCTGCCGCTGTTGTCGAAGCCGCCGCCGCCGCCGCTGTCGCCGCTTGCGTCGGGGCCACGCAGCCGCACGCCGCCGCCGCCGCCGCTGTCGACACTGCCGCCGCTGCTGCCGTCGCCGCCGCAGCCCCTGCGGTCGACGTCGCCGCCTCACGCACCGTGGGTCGACCGACCTAGAGTCGCTGTCACTGTGGCTGGAATGGGGGTGCTAGGTTAGGGGGTGTGGGTGTGTGTGGGCATGTGACTACCAAGCCTAGGGGGTGTGTTCAAATTATATAAGTTATAATTTAATATAGGCTTGGTACTGAACCTTTCTGTAGGGGGTACAAACCCCTCCTTGTACTCCCCTCTCTTCTAATCCAACACTCTTTTCTCTCCTCAACTTTCCTAGCACCTAAAACCTCTCGCCATTCTCATGGCTCCTCCTAGCTCCTAGCTAAACCTTGTGCCATTCTATGGCTTCCTAGCTAAGCTAGTCTTTTGACACAATGCGCCTCCAGCTCGCAACCGCTACCCGCCTTGCCCCTACGTCATTAAAATGGGCCCTCGCGCAGGGCAGGTCTGCGGTGGCACCAATCATCCACTCGCCACGTGCTTCAAAAAGAAAGACGACGAGTGGTTTGCGAAGAATGGCGTCAACTCCAAGCCACCCAATTGGCTCCGCATGCGCCAGACCAACCAGCTTGAAGTTCAGACTAGTCAGGATGCAACTGTTGACAACCCTAGTCCTGATGTTCGTCTCAACTTGTTGTTCCCAGGCGTTGCCATGATCAATGAAACCACTTCGCAGTACTCGGCGCCTGAACGCTCCTTGACACTCGAATTCGTCCTTGATAGCGGAGCAACCCACACCGTCCTCAAGGACAAAGAGTCATTCAAACCATACCAAGCACCCATCCCTTTACTTGGTGCCGACTCGAGCTTCACCACCCTCGCCCATGGCTCATCCACACTTCCATGCCCAGCATTCCCTTCCGGCTCTGTCACTGGTATATGCCTTCCCACGCTAAGGCACAATCTCCTCGCACAGCACGAAATTCAGCGCGCAGGGGTCACCACCGTCTTCCCCGCTCACTCCAACAACTGTGATCTCATTGATCCAACCTCCAACACGCGTCTCGCGCGCTTCACTCTCTCCTCCAACAACCTCTACACGCTTCAAGTGCCTCCACCTCGCACTGAAGTTCACACAACCTCCACATGCTCGTGTCGCCACCTCTCCGACCCCACCTTGCTTTTCCACCACCGGCTCGGGCACCCCAATTTTCGCACCCTCTCAGAGCTCGCCTCCAAGAAACTCCTTCTCCATCTTCCCGACACTCTTCCCCCACCATCGCCTTCACCAGCGCCTCCTTGTCTGGACTGTACACAAAGTAAATTGCGTCAATTGCCTCACCCTCCATCACCCTCCGCCGCAGCCGCCCCCCTCGATCTCATCCATATGGATCTCTGGGGGCCAGCGCCCATTCAATCCCGTGGCGGGCATTCATACTTCTTAGTACTCGTGGACGATCACTCTCGCTACGCATCCGTCCACCTCCTTTCCTCCAAAGCGGCGGTCCTTGATACCGTCATCGCTTGGGTTCGGCAAGCTCAAACCCACTTTCGCACCTCCGTCAAGTGTCTCCATTCCGACGGCGGTGGCGAGTTCCGCAATCATACCCTTCACAGACGTCTCTCCTCCTCCAAGAGTGAACATCGTCCGCGGCAAATGGGTGTTTCGTGTCAAACAGCTACCTGGCGAACTTCCGGTCTTTAAGGCACGTTACTGTGCCAAAGGCTACACACAGAAAAAGGGGCTGGATTTCTTTGACACCTTCTCCCCAACGGCTAAACTGCCTACCCTTCGCACTCTCCTTGACGTCGCTGCTCGAGGCAACTTCGAGGTCCACTCTATGGATGTCTCAGCGGCATTCCCGCAGGGAGACCTTCCTGAGGACATTTTCATGGAACGGCCTCAAGGGTTCCCCTTACCCTTTCCACCCGGAACAGTCTGGAAGTTGAATCGACCCATCTACGGGCTGAAGCAAGCTCCTCGCGAATGGCATAAGAAGCTGAAGGCCACCCTCGAGTCACTCGACTTTCATCCTTCTGCCGCCGATCCGAGCCTTTTCATTCGCAAGAACGAGAAGCCGTTC